ATCACATTTAAGGGTTCCTGCAATTGTGAATGCTCTTGAAGATATGAAACTCACTTCAAAGGTGCTAAGAAATGAACCCTGCAATCAATCCTTTATTTACAAGAATGCTTTATTTTCATCTATATTGGTCTTTGCTATATCTCCTTAACCAGGTTGTAATGCAAAAACAGTGTTATGATTAGTCGTACTCGTACAGTGGCATCTTATGGTATAAGATAAAAGTTCGCTCATTTGTGCAACCACTTGTTTAATGTAATCAGTTCCGGGGCTCTGAGATCATTGAACTTCAAAACTTTGAGCCTGCCTCAGTAGATGACATTGCAAGTGTTCATGCAAGAGCCTATGTATCTGGCCTTGAGAAGGTAGGCTTTTATCTTTTTCAAGTAGTTCTCCTTCACTTCAAACATCCCTGTTAATAAATTCTTTTAGGTTGTGCCTAGAAAATTAGTATGCTAAATTGCTGATATCTCTGAAAATGCCCATGCCTTCTGTTATCGGTGAATGTGTGATACTGAACATCATCTTTTGTGGGATGAGTTTATGTCTTGCACATGGTTATCTATTCATTAACTTCATTTTATGCATATTTTCTTCTGGTTCAATTGTAAAATGATATAAAAACAAAAATTATGGATAAATTTTACTACCTAATTGGCTACCCAGCAACAGATAAATTATTAATATCTTTATTTCAGTCAGTTCTCTATGACCTATTTTTCACGTTCTGGTACAGTCCCTTTGTGCTATTAATAAAGTTATGCTCCTCAAGCATTTACCTTTTGTATTTTATGTGACTTTAAATTAAATAGAAAATTATACTTCTAAACTTTTATAGTTCTCCCATCTGAATGTTTATAGGCTATGGATCAAGCTTCAGAGAAAGGACTTATTTTCATTGATGGCTCTGGACCAACATATGCTACATCCACTGTAACACTTTGAAGTTGTTCTTTTTTTTGTTTGTCCCCCCCCCCTGTTTTCCAAGCTTATATATTTGCGGAACATCATTCTATTCAAACATTATATGTTGTTGTAGTAGAAGACACATCTGTCCTGCATGGAGTACTGTGATGTGTTCAACCGCTTGTTCTCTGATGGTGGTGCTAATAATGCAGACATTCCAGGAGTCATTAGTTGCTGCGGGGGCAGGATTAGCCTTAGTTGACTCAGTGGTGACGTCTCCACCTGGCTGACCATCTATTAGTAATAATCTGTGTGTGTTTTGGGGAGGGGTAAGTGGGTCTGTGGGTGGATCATTGGATATATAGATTCGTGTTTAATGGGAAAGTTTGAACTTATATCCATTTACATTAAATGTTGATTCCAACAGAACATAATGCCACCATTCAATTTAGACTGTTCCAAACATGCTGTCAAGTTGATTTCAAATTAAGCGTAACATATTTTCTTTTCTCGACCTTGTAGTTCCTCTGTCTATAATTAATTTTTGCTAGGATGTTCTTAGGCTGATTTTGATCCCATAGATGCATAGTTTGATCTATGTATCTTTCTTTCTAAGCGAGAAGGGGGAGGGAGCTACAAGTTTCACAAATTATGGAACCAACCTCTGTGAAGGTTTCTTCCATACATTCTAAACACGCTGGATAATAAGTTTTAATGTTTATTTTCATATTCAGGTCGCGGCTTCAAAGGACAGCCAAGATCCACCCACTGGTTTTGCTTTGATAAGACCGCCTGGACATCATGCTGTTCCACAAGGGCCTATGGGCTTCTGTGTTTTTGGAAATGTGGCCATTGCTGCTCGTTATGCTCAACGTGTACATGGACTAAAGCGTGTGTTTATAATTGATTTTGACGTCCACCATGGGAATGGGACAAATGATGCTTTCTATGAAGATCCAGATATATTTTTCCTCTCTGCTCACCAAGTAAGACAAAAGTTGGTTCAGATTTCTAAATATAATTCCTGTGCTTTATTGATTCCCAAGGTTCTTATGAAAACTTGGCTTTTCTTTCCATGATTTTATTTATAGCTGTTGAGTTTTAGAGTCCATGTCACTCAGAGTTATCATTAGTTGCATAATGTCAGTTCTGGGTTTATGGGACATTGACGAGACATGTCATTATGCTGGACATAGGGACATGATGAAACCGGAAGAGTCCATACGTAGTTTCAAGTGTCGTATGGTGTCTCACCATGTCTAAAATGAGTGTCCAACACGGGTTAGATATGGTAACTACTTTTCTGAAGCTTCCCTGCAGGCCTACTTAATAGGGTAGAAATAGATGTGCTGCTTTTATTTTATTTTATTTTTTAAAAATATATATATGTTTAGCACTCATTATAAGCTTAAATTAAGTGATTTTTTGCATATTGGAAAGCTCTTAATCTATGGCTGTATTTGTTCAACCAAAATAAAAAATTCTATGGCTATATTTGATCATTTTTATGACTCAGGATGGAACCTACCCTGGCACTGGTAAGTTTGATGAGGTTGGAGCTGGGGATGGAGAAGGAACCACATTAAACCTGCCTCTACCAGGAGGATCAGGTGATACGACTATGAGAACTGTGTTTGATGAAGTCATTGTGCCTTCTGCTCAAAGATTTAAGCCAGACATTATTCTTGTTTCTGCTGGGTGAGTCTTCTATAAAACCATTGTTATCAAAGCGAAGATAGAATGAAAAATGATGCTAAGTGAGATTGGAAAGCTTATTTTATTCATCTGAGCAAATCAATATATACACAAACTTGGAGCCTTACTATAATGGCTTACTAATGCTATCGTCCCTACATTAATGATATAGTCCCCATGATTATGCTATTATGATAATACAATATCTACACAAAAAATTAAAGAATGTTGCTATTCTGACAAAAAAACTACTTGACTTTAGCGAGTGCTAACTAGCAAGGCCACTTGCTTTTGCATTACTGGATTAAAGATAAAGGCAACCTGAATCTAACCATAAAATTTGAATTAGATCCGGAAAGCAATAAACTACCTCGTATTATTTGTTGTTGCTGACAGAGTCTGATTTGGAATTCCTTTTGATTTCGTTTATTAGGTATGATGCTCATGTTTTGGATCCACTAGCCAATTTACAGTACACAACAGGAACATACTACATGCTTGCGTCCAATATAAAACAATTAGCAAAAGAATTATGTGGAGGCAGGTGCGTGTTTTTCTTGGAGGGAGGGTATAATCTCAAATCCCTTTCACATTCAGTGGCAGACTCATTCCGTGCTCTTCTCGGTGATCGGAGTTTGGCATCCGAGTTTGATGATCCAAACATCCTGTATGAAGAGCCATCAAGAAGGGTTAAGCAGGCAATCGATAGGATAAAGGCCATACATTCCCTGTGACGTTCCAAGTGAAAACCAGATCTACCTTGCACGTAATTTTTCCTTTTCTACCTCTCAATGACTTGATGCGTTGATGCATGTGCTTGGTCCCACTTCACAAATACTACCCATTGAAAATAATAGCTTCCAAAAAAGAATCATGTCATTTTGATATCTTCCTTATCAGTAACTTCTTTTTAATCTCTCTTAGGTCTCACAAGAAAATCGTGCAATTCCTAACGTGCAGGTAAATAAACAGAATGGAAAGATATCATGCAGTGGGGTCTTTAATCTTTGTGGAAGACAGCCTAAGGAGGTGCCTGGTACGAAAGCAACGAGAGTCTTAATGTAAAAGCTTTGTAACAATAAGACAAAGTTGTCACATTGAAAAGATGCTTTCACAGTATGCTTCAATGTATGATTACTATTGGACTTCTGAGGCAGAAGATAAGTTTCAAATGCCATAATTGTAAGGGCTAAAAACAGTTTAAAACGTGTGGCAGGATCAACTTGGTGCCGACCACAGGTGACCTAACGAGAACTTCACGATGTTACAATCCACAAAGCATATACTTATGTTTTAGATAAGCATGATTATGTCTTATGAAACTGATACTAAACCATAAAGTCGTTGACTATGGTTGGCAATTGTTTACGTAATGGAACCAGATTCCCCCTTTAGTTTTGTTTCTTTTTATCTTTCATAGTACTAGAAAGGTTTCAATAGAGAATACAGAATCACAGATAGAAGAAAAGGAAGTTTAGTGGAAATGCAGGTAATTGAAGAAAAAAGGTGATGATGATCACTTTAGTTACACGACTATCCCAATTTTGTAAGTGCTGCTCACAAATTACAGATTTAAACATGGGAAGCAAAGGATTAAAAAACAGCCTGTTTGCAAGAGTTTGGCAGGTATGAGACTTGGCCGTAAAAAATGATCCATTAACTCATTTTCTTCAAAGGAGCCTTCTGGATCCACGCTGGCACATTTTATTTGACTGGACTGACTTCCCGGATAACTTGTCCTTTATATATCTGGGGTTCATGGGTAGAGTAAAATTGTAAAACAGAATCTGGCAAAAAGAAATTGCAAAAATGATTTTGTTTTGGGTGATAAAAAGAAGATTATTTTAATCACCAAAATACGTGTGCTGAACAGTGATTAGGAGGGAGGGGATATGACTATGTTGATAAGCACCGCGTTAAACTTGATTCTTACTTCTTCCTTGTGAATTGCTTCCATAGATCTAGTGGGAAACCACTTTCTTTTGAAAGGGAGAGACAGCTGCTTAACGTTACTGTGCATCATGGATTATGCTTGCCTGTAAGACAAGAAATGATTAAAAAAAAAAATTAAACTTTTAAGAACTAAATGTAAATTTTTTAATCTATTCCTGGCAAAAACATTTTTTTTTAATCTATTCTGACTTAAAATGTAAATTACAGAAGCTGGTTTTGTTAGGTTTCAGGACCCTACTTTCTCATGATGGATAGTCCCCATAGCGCCGCCTTTTTACAGCAAGTTGCGATAACTTCATGCTTTCTTTCTTTTGAATCATAATCAATCAACCAGAAGCTTTCTCACTCCTTCCCTTCACCTATTATATATATATATATATATATATATATATATTTCTCTCTATATATATTACCAAGCTAGAGTGATGTGTCAAAATATAAAATTTATTATGGGAAGTGAAAGGGTGAATCTTCCACCTGGCTTTGTCTTCTCTCCAACAGATGAAGAGCTAATACTTCACTTTCTTTATCCCAAGGCTTTCCTTCTACCCTGCCATCCCAATATCATCCCTGACCTTGATCTCTCTCTCTTTCACCCTTTCCAACTCAGCGGTATGTGTGTGTGTTTGTTTTTCATGTCTGTCTGAAATAACAGTTGTGATTCTTCGTTAAACTCGTGCATGTATGTGTTTGTTTGTATCAGGAAAGGCGTTGTCTTGTGGAAACCAATTCTATTTTTTCTGCAAGTATAAGAAGAGAAGAGTGACAGAAAGTGGGTATTGGAAGGAAATAGGTGTGACTGAATCAGTAGTTTCAGCTGAAGGCAAGAAAGTTGGGATCAAGAAGTATTCAGTGTTCAAAAATGGAGAAGCTCCCCATGGTACTGAAACCAGTTGGGCCATGCAAGAGTATCATCTTTGCTCTTCTGGGTTTAACATTCAAGGAAGCCCAAAACCTGTAAGTTAGTTATTTAGTTTTATATAGTTGAGCCAGTATATATTTATATGGAAAGATTGAAAATTGATGGACTCTCATGTTCTGTTTATTGAATCTGATAAAGGATCATAAAAGTAAATGGGTGCTGTGCCGAGTCTATGAAAAGACGATGGATTCTGAAGATGATGATGATGATGAAGATGGAAGTACAGAGCTTTCATGGATGGATGAAATGTATATGTCGACGTTGGATGAAGAAGAAGAAGAAGAAGAAATTAGCTTCCCTAACTAGATTCAAAGCTAAATTACATGTACAACATCTAGTTAATCACATTCTTTGTTGCTATTGTCTCTTCAACCTCCTTCTGTACCTTGCATGTTAGCTTTGCAAATGTCAAATCTTTTTTTATTAGAAAAAATATATATATATATTTCATACTTTATTTTTATACAATGTTTTAATTTGATCCCTTAATTTTAAAAGGCATATTTTTATTCTTTAATCTTCAAACTGTTAGTCTTAAATGATGATTTTATGTAGCAGTCATAATTGTTTTAAAAATTAAACTTAATATATAAATATCTGAAAATGTTTTATAAATACTCAAAATTTAAATATCATTATTTTTTGTTGTTGACATAGATGTGGGCGTATGTCTCTGAGTCCTCCCTCATCCAGGCTGCTGAAGCCTGAAGACATAAGGGGCAAAGCAAGAGCTAAACTACAAGCTAAAGGGCAGGCATGCTCCTATTGATAATAGAATACCACCTCCCACCTTTGGCGCATTTGTTTGGACAGTTTTAAGGTTAAATGACTAAAAAATATTTTTTTTTTTTAAAATATATGACTTATTTTATAGTGTAAAATTACACTACAAATACAATATAAAATAGATCTTATATTTAAAACCGAAGAAGGAGTATTAAGAGACTAAATTGAGACTTTGTATAAAATTAAATGATTAAAAACATACTTTTGCCTATTTATTATTATATTTCTTAGCTAGTATGATCGTGCCTTATAAAAGGTAAAACTTTTATTATTCGAAAAGGAATCGATTAAAAACTAGCAGAGGATCATATGTTTTTTTTTTTTTGGACTCAGCAGAGGATCATATGTTTGGTTCACACGACACTATAAGGACAAAAATTATACCATATCTTCTTTTTCTGTTTGGACTGATTTTTTTTCTTTTTGCCAACCTGTTTGGACTGATATACCATACCTAAATATGCCGCAATCATTTTATATACAATAATGTGTTACATAAAATTAACATAAGAATTGATTATTGTTTTCACTAAAATTAGACAAGTGGGAGTGAATTTTGAACTTGTAAAAAGAGTTCAAAATATAGTTGCAAGATAAATTAAGTATGAAAAATACATATATTCTAAAACTAATTATCTGAATTTTATCCTTTGTTAAATGAGATTAGAGCTCAACTCATATACATTCACCTAATATGATACACAAATAAATGATATAACTTAATTGGTTCAATATGATATTTATAGTATTAAAAATCAAAATAATCAACACGAATAATTATTAGTGGTTTAGTTTTTCGGCTAAGATTAATGAGGTTAATATGGGCCTTAACAGGCCACAGCTGATTTAAGCCCAGCCCAAAATAAGCCCACTCTGTCAACAACCCTAATTCCGATCTCTCTATAAATATTTGAACTCCGGATCGACTGAACATGGCCGACTTCTTTTTCCTGCCTTTCTGTGCTTCTCTGTCTCTGTAATTGTGTTGCATTGAACGTTTCGAAACGTTTGTTTTTGATCCATGAGAGATTCGGCAGCCAACATAAAGCTTGGTCGAATCTCTGATGAACTTGGACCAAAAGATAAACATTTTTAGATTCAATTGTCGTTGAGATTTTAGGAGGAGGAAACTATATAAAGCAAGTTCAGCTTCTTGATTGGACATCGACGTTGAAGTTACGGTCCAGTCAATAATATTCACAAACTTGCGATATCCAATTCGCCAGTGTCACTCGCCTGATTTTGATATCTCGTGATATTTTAGGCCCTTTTATCACTGGCACATCTCTGTTCTTCACTCTCTTCACTGTGATTTCTCAACTTGAATTTTCTGAGAAGTAATTTTATTAGCGAGTGATACATACTGTGAACAATATTTAGGGTTTTTGTCAGTTAAGCAAACGCACTCTGTCCCATAACCGTGTTTAGCGCGGATGTTTTGAGGCAATTTCTTCGTTTGCGATAGTAATGGAGTTTATGAAATTAGGGTTTCAGATGCTCTCATCCAGCAAACTCGCCCATATGGTTTTTTCTGATTGGTAACCATATTGGGCACATTGTTGGAGTACAAATCACTTCGTACTATTCAAGCACATTTAGGGTTTCCATTATCAGAAACTCTATATGGGGTGGGAGATATGCTTAGAATGAATGATTATGATACTGTGAGCATTCTTTGATCACTCGGCTAATAGGAATTGTTGAGAAGTGGACTAACGGAAATGCGCTCCATCCGGATATTTCATTCAAACTGAACCCATTCTATTCACCTTTTATTAAAATATAGTAATAATTTTTTAATTTTATCTATATTTAATATATATTATTTCTGGTTTTTAATATAAGATTCTGTTTGATTTTTAGTTTGGTTCTAATTGTAAGATATTAATTCATTTTGTTTCTTATATTTCTGTATTTTTTTCTAAGACAGTCCTTCTAATAATGATAGTTCTAGTCAATACACTTAATTAGCAAGGATATTTTAGGAATGACAATACTTATTTATTTCAAATAATTAACTTAACTTATTTTTTTAATTTTTTCAAATTAATTAACTAGGTCTTACAATTAGGACCGGAGGTAGTATGATTTAGAAAAGATAATTATCTGCATTATAATAAATTAAAAAACAAAATAAACAAAAAATAAAATAATATATTATGATTTATAAATAGGATTTTAAAAAAATTTCTCTGTAAATAAGATCAGAAGTATTATCAAAGCAAGTGTTTCTGTAAAGTAATTTTTATTTTTGAATGGATACTGTTGAGGCATGAAGCGGAGCATTTGGGCCTTTCTGCCCAGGTATGAAAACTGAAAAGCGAACCGGTCGGTGGGGTGATTCAAGGGTTAGTGGGTGGTCAATTCAGAATTACATTACTGTACATAATCTGACAAAACACTAAAATAAGGTGGATGGCTACTCTTATAAGGTCAATAAAAAAATAGTTTACTGAGTTTTATATTTAATACTCCGCAGTCCTATTATTTAGGACCTATTTTTCTAAATATAAAACTCATTATATTACAAAATGAGGTCTACAGTATCATGTATTTTTGGATGTCGTTGGGTGGTAGCTTTTCCTTGAGGGAAGTTGAAATTCCGAACGTGACCTAAAGTAAGGTTCACATCTCTAATTTGAGCTTATTTTTATGAAGTAAGCAGGTGCAAACAAACCCTTGTTCAGATAACACAGCCACACAAGCAATTTTGGACATTTAACTAAATTTCAACTTTGTCACATTCATGGGCCGATCTTTGGTATATTAGGTCAAAAGATAGGTTGCAGTGAAATCGAGTGGTGACATGATTGCAATTAAGACAAGGGACCTACTCTTATGCATTTCTACTTGGTTTTGGAGGGCAGCAATTGAAGAGAAGATGCCACATGAAATTAAATAGTGATAATGATAGGATAAGAATGCCGAATAGGACCCACAAACCATGAGCTATTGTTTTCTCAAGGTTTATAGATATCTTATTTCTCAAATAGTGATTTCTTTAAAGTCAATGCTTTACTAGTTACTAGATTATGATATCTTAGTGAAAGAAATTAGGGAAAATGATCAGTTCAGGGATTTCGTTTAAATTCTCCATGCCGCATCATTTCATCATTTGACCATGACATGTGGTAGGTAAAAGATTCTGTGGAAACATGATGGTTATGCTCCTGAGATCTTTGTAAAATGATTTTATCATCTTCGTTCAAATGGAATAATGTCGTCCTCCATATTCTTTTGTAATCTCAAACTGCCCGCTTTTTTTAGTCAGGAAAAAAAGATGGTTTCGTCCTCAAAATTGATCAAAATTCCGAATTAGTTGCCTAGACTTGGGTCCCTTTTTATCTTCATGTCTTGATGATTCTGATTACATGCAGTATAAGAAACCAGAGGTATCTGTACTGTGCCATGTACACTGCAAGAATTCACGAATCAGTTGTTTTCTGATGAAGATAATACTGGTAAAGTCAGGCAATGAATGCATTGTCTTTCTGAGCTTGCATCAATGCTTTTTTTCCTGTTTACGACCGCTTCCTGCCTTCCTTTTTTCCCCCTATATTTTTCTCTCTCCTTCACAACCTCATTTAATAATGAGTAAAATTAAAAAAAAATCAATTTGAGATAAATTTAATGAGTTAGCTACTAACAAGCTATTGGTTGAAGTAGTAAATAGCCTGAAAAACACACTTGTTGGGAGAAGCACAAATTCTCTATGCTCTAAGCCTCTAAAAGAAAAATCGTTGATCAAATAAAAAATTTAATGAGTCAACTATAATTTTTTTGATTCTAATAAATTAGTTAAAGTCACTTGCATTATCAATCAGAAGGAGTATACATGTATTATATTATTATGTTCGCAGAGAGACAGCTGACCAGTGACAGATCTAGGAATTTACATAATAGGCTCTGTTTTTTGAACCACAGATTAATAGCTTTGTTTAAAATCTGCAAAGGGAGGAAAAATTTATTTGGAGGGACCAAACAAAAAGGGAAGAAAAAAACTATTGGGGGCATTAATTCTTTTCCTCAATTTTTAATTTAAAACCGATCGGCCTGTTTGTGAGGACGTTTTAGTGGGTAATCGTGTGGTGTAAATCACAAACTGTGCTATTGATGAAATTTGATTATTTGTATTAACGATAAGGACACTGTGCTTTTGCATCAAAGGTTGCAACAAGTCATAAGCAAAAATTTGCTACCTATAACTTTTCAACGGTGGAGAAAAAATAGAGCTGGTGAAAAGTGTTAAAAGGCGGAGAGAGAACTTAAAAAAAAGTTGAGTTTCACCTTTATAAATAGGACGAAACGAGTGTGTCTTATAATAAATTAGAAAAAAAATGTATGAAAAATGTAATTAAAAAGTATAGGAGGGAATAAATTATATATATTATTTAATAAAATTCATATTCTTTTTTATCATTTTATAATTAAATTTACTTTTCTAATAATAATCTAAACAACTCTACTTTTACAAACTAACTTTTTTACAAAAGTCAATCTAAATATAAATCATATTATCCAATCTAATTTTTTAAAAATCAAATTAAAAATAAGTTACTTTTTTTTACCGCAAATCAGATCTTGTTATGTTTTTCTCTCTTCTTCAATACTCAACTTTGCTCAATTGCTCTATTGATACCG